TGCCATGGCATCACAGCTCATAGCAACCTCCAACTCCTGGGCTCAAGTGAGTCTCCTGCCTCAGCCTCCCAAGTAGTTGGGACTACAGGCGCCTGCCACAACGCCTGGCCATTTTTTGGTTGCAGCCATCATTGTTGTTTGGCGGGCCCAGGCTGGGGATTCAAACCCACCATCTTAGGTGTACGTGGCTGGCGCCTTAGCCGCTTGCGCCACAGGCGCCGAGCCACCCCTGCAATCTTAGCACAATGCCCATCACAGCTTCCCCCATGGTGGGCTCCCAGAGAAACCTTGGTAGACTCGAAGGAACTCCCCCTACACTGACTAGTCAAAGTCTAAGCCTAGAACACTTATTTTCTGCCATTGCCCCCAACAGGAGCACTGTTCACAACAGGGAGGATTGGCCTGGGCCTCTGCAAGGTAGTGGCTTCCAAGAGTCCCCAGTCAATGGCTCTTGAATGGATCATCCATGGAGCAGTCTACCTGTGCCAGGCACCAGGCAAAGTGCCTTTATTTCCTCCTCATTGCCACCCATTTCTTCCATTTTACAGGTAAGGACACAGGATGAAATGGATGGGTCCCTAAGTGGCGGAATTGGGAGACTTTCACCAGGTTGTGTAATCTTAGAGTGAGCACTCTTAAGGACTCCTGCCTTTGAACGTGTCAGCCCTCAGGAAGCAAGTATGTCAGCCAAAGGCACCTGCACTCTGTGTCCTCAGGAGAGCCAGAACCTGTTTTATTCTTAAACTAGCACACTGGAAAAATGCAGTGACGTGTGGATGAGGTCTCAGTCATGTGGTGGCTTCAAGCTTGGGCTCAGCCACTAGCTAGCTGGATCACCCACTTGTTCTGTAACTGTTTCTCCTCTGTAAAATTGGACAAATACCCATATTTCACGTTCTTTGAGAGGGAGGCACATTGTGGGCACAGGTCAGGTCCACTGAAGGGGCTCACTCGAAGTTGTTAGACTGGATATTCAGATACCCTCAGCTAGGCTGGCACATCTGGCAATACGAGGGGGCACTCAGAGAGCGGTCCACCAACCCAACACTTGTGGCCACAGACCCAGGCTATAGCCAAGTTGAACTAGAAGTGAGCACTTTCTATTGAGGTCAGATATCCCACGAGGGCCAACGGCCTCTGAGGGAAGACCCCAGAATCAGAAGCCACCAGACAAGGCTTTGAGTCTTACCTTACCCTAGCCACAGTGTGGCTTTGGGCAGGTGATATTCTGTCTGGGCTTTTCCCCCAAGTTTGCAAATCAGTGGTGAGAGTTAAGACCTTCTTTGCTGCTATTGTCACTTCTTAGGCACAGGGCTTACAACCAAGCAAAGGCTCTGAGCAGAGTTAAGCTATGAGGGGGACAGATTGAGGAGCCTGGGGTCACTTCATGCTGAATGCATACCCAGACCTGGATTCAGGCACTGTACAAATAGAGCAGGCAGCAATGAGTTTATTGCATTAGAAAAAACATCAAAGAAAACCAGCAAACACCTCCGTACTAGACAGTTATTAGTTTGACTCATGGATATAAAGGAATCTCAAAAGTACAAGATTTAATTCTGGAAGGGGGTGATGGTTTCATCCTTCCTCCTTCTCTGTCCCTTTAAACCAATGGACCTCTATGGAGGTGTCCACTGTACGATACAAGAACACGACTCACTTCCCATCCTGCTTGCCTGAACACATCCAGGCGGAGTTAGCTGGTCACAATGGGCATGCTCCTGAGGTTCTGGGACAGACAGAGAAATGTGAGGATGGGGCTGGGGGGGGGCGGTCCTAGCCTGAGCCTGGGCTTCCACAGTTAGTGATAGTGGGGCTTGCATGAGGGAGGGAGAGCTTGCCTTCCTGCAGAGCTCTGGGAAGGCTGCTGGCTGATCCCTCCATCTGTCCCCACAAACTGTAGGGCATAGGCATTGGCACAAATGGCTGCTGGACATTAAGGGGGCTGATCCAGGAACCAAGTGACTCAAATTCTCTCAGGGGAGCTGCTTAGGACAACTTTTTAGCATAGCCCTGAGGACTCTGGGAGGAGGAAAACCAGCTGAGTGTGGATCTGGGAGAGGAGACAGAATAAAAGGATGGGGATGAGAGTGCCAGGCAGAGAGGTCTGCAGCAGGGGCCAGGAAGAGAGGGAGGGCTGGGCCAGGCAGCTGGAGAAGAACACCAGCGAGAAGCAGAATGCTGGCCTAGACCAACCTGCTACCCCTCTTAAAAGAAACTCAGCCTCTGAAATCCATTCTCCTTGGGTCCAGTTCTGTCAGCATATCACCAATACTCAATAGTTCCTGGTAGTTTCTGCTTTGTTACTTCCATGCACACTGACAAATCAGTGGGTCTTGAGAAGAATTAAACCGTTCACTTGTTTGGGCTCCAGCCTTAATGTTCTAAAATGTCACTTGACATCCCAGCTGGACATGCCCCTAGTCAGGTCTCAAGCAAACACAAAGGCAGAAGGACATCGTTTTCTCTAGCTGAGACCCTAATGATGCCACTGCTATGGCTACTGGCAAAGATAGCAGAGGAAGGGGCCAGAAATGAGCAGCAGCTTTTTAGAGAAGAAAGCCCCCTGCTGCAGGCCAGACCCCCAACAACATAATTCAAGTCTGAGCAGTGGCAGGAGCTACGGCATGAGGACCCATAGATGCCAGAGCTGGCACTCAGGCCTTTCTCCAATTCCCCACAAACTAACGGGATACTCATAAGAAGAAAGGGGATCTGAAAGCCTCTCCAGATCAGAGACTTCCAGACTGTTCCCTGCCCATTAACTCCTAGCAGCAAGTCATTACAAAATGCCCACCCATGCCTCAGGCTTTCTTAAAGTCAGAATGACAACAAAAATAATGTGTACCTTCTAAACACATTTAGGATAACAAAAGAGTCCTTATCAGAAGCAATTCTAAATTTTCTAGTCACTTTGATTCTCCATCATTCTTTCTATATCAGGAATATTTTCCTATAGCAGGGAATCATGTCCCTTGGTCCCTAACTGAATACCACAGATTGGCCTGGATGGTGGTTACAGAGACTACAAGTGACCTACATCATTACTTGCAGACAGGAGGCCTGGTCTCTGCTACTCCAGCCCAGGCCTCATCACTTAGAACACATCAGCTGTGCTGAGGAAGACAGCTTCATGGGCAGCAAGGCAGGTTTCCCAAAGGATTGGCAATCCATGTAGGTGGAAGAAGGAATGGCTTTATCCTGTTTTCTCTGGCCGGATACTTGCTGTCACACTCCTGAAGCTCTGGCTGCTCCAGCCCTGGCCTTGCCTGGGGCAGGGGAGGGAAGGTGAGGGTGGCTGTGGCTGAAGAGTTCACTGAGGTTAGCTTAGTCATTCTGAAACTGGTCCCATGTACACCAAAGCCTTTGGTTCCTTTAACACTAGAGAGTCATGAGTGTTATAAAACTCACCTGGGTCCCACAGGGGGTGGCAATTTGGGGAGAGTGTGGGTATTCTCTGTATAGAGGTTCTGGGTTCCCCCAAACTGTGCCTCTTATTTTCTGCTTAAACAAACCCCCTCCCTTTCTCCAGTGTGGAAGACGCTTAGGAAACAGCGTCAAAAGTGAACTCACAGACAAGACAGCCTTAATAAATTAGTATAATACTATTAGAAGGGGTGGGATTTTGTTCTGTTTCTTAGCAGCAATTGTCCTACATGCAGCCTGATGATCTCCTTCCCTGGGAAATTTAAAAAGCCGTCCCCTGGTTGTTAGCTCTGATGTAAAATTATAAAATAGAAATCTGGTAGGGTTTGTTTTGTTTAAAAAGGAAAAGCCCTGGTGAGGCAGGGCGGTCCCATGCAGTCCTGTTAGCTCTGGCCATTGGGTCTGCCCACGGTGCTCCCTCCTGGTGGCTGGATCTGAATGGAGTCCAGGAGGGGCCGAAGTGCCTGTCCGAAGGGCCTGTGGGAAAACAGAGACATGAGCAGGGCACGCTCAGCACTGCCTAGGTTGTGAGAAGGGTGGATGGTGGTGGCAGCAGTAGCTCTGCCACACCACCGGGGGGGGGGGGGGGCCCATTACCTCATTTAATTTGCTCACCTGCCTCACACATTAGTTTTTCAGAGGGCATCTCTGAAATAGGCTGCTCTGTGCTTTTACTCCTGGGTCCCTCCTCAGAGCCTCACCTTTAGAGCCTGGCTCGGCGCCTATAGCTCAACCGGCTAAGGCGCCAGCCACGTACACCTAAGGTGGTGGGTTCGAATCCCCAGCCCGGACCCACCAAA